GGGATCCGAACCCTCGGACGGGAGCGCCGCCGCGCTTCCCAAGCGGCGCACTATCCAGTGCGCCACCGGGCCGGCCCCAGAAGTTTCACACTTCTAAAGGAAAATGTTTTCAGAAAATGAGTGGAAATTGGTGATAAAGGTAAACTCGCTTATCCTAATCCAAATACTAAATTACACAGAATACAATGCTTCAATTTCACCTCGGACAGCTGCAGCGGCCCAGGGTGGCCCTGACTTCGCCATAGGACATTCTGGGAAGGTCGCTTAACCAATCAGCGCCCGGTTTCCACGGGTCAAGTCTGCATAAAAATGCCTGCCCCTTCCGTTCCTACAGTGTCATGATGCAGAAACGCAGCGGCACCCTGGGGCTACTAGCCTTAAGGGCGCTCGGTCTTCGAGGCTCCTAAAGGGACTTTCACAGCCACTCTTCCATCAGGCCGGGCCCACGGATGCGATGGGGGCCAGTCAGGCTGTCCCCACTCTTCTGGATTCTGTGTCAGGACACACACGCTGACAGCATGGCTAACCTTCTGGGGGTTGTGGACATCTGGGAGAAGCCGAATTAAACAACAGATCTACTCCCGAGTAAATGAAACGTACGTGCAGGCCAAAGAGCCTGCGTATACAACCTCCGTGTTCGCGAGTCTTTAAGACCCACGCTGGGCTCCCTGGGGTGGGGGCCGCAACCACTCACCGAAACCAGCGGGACGCGCAGGTGATCCCCCTGCAGCCGGTTGAAGGCGGGGAAAGTGCTCCAGGCGAGGAACTCGCCTTGCTCCGGTCCCAGAAGGGCCACGAGCAGCACCTGGTGCTGGAAGCGCACGGTCGGCTGCTCCTCGTAGCTGCTCCGCTTCAGCCAGAACCCTGAGTTAGAGAGGGCGGTGGGAGGAGGTCAGGAAGGCCGGCTGGGCGGAGCGGGCCGCCGGGAGCTGTGTCGCGCGCCGGCCGGGACAGGCTCACCGTGGCTCCGGAAGGCCACCAGCAGCGGCGGGATGTACGTGAGGGCGGCGGCCAGGAGCAGGAACAGCGCGGCCTTGGAGCAGAGCCCAGCGCGGTAGCCGCGCTCCGTCGGGTGAGAGAAGAGCTCGTAGAGCGCCATTAGCTCTGCACGTAGTCAGGCCACGAGCCGGGACCCCTCCGCGGTTTCAGACGGACGACCAGGTTTGGCTTCTCCTGGTTGCCATCGTCTTGGTCTCCACGGCAACCGACGGCTCAAGGAAAAGAGCCAATAGCAAGGACGCGGCGCTCTAGTGGGGGTGGAGCTAACGGGGGGGGCGGTGCCCTCTGGGGGACACCGATCTCTCTTTACGCGCTTCGTGCATTTCTTTAAAGGCCGGGTAGACTGTTTCCAGGCACCAAAGTTGTAGCCATCGTGTAGCTTAATGTGTGTAAAATATGGGCTGGCCGGTTAGTTCCCTTGGGAGAGAATGTTGCTGATAACACCAAAGTCAAGAGATCGGATCAAGGGGCCTGCCCTGGCTCACTTGTGAGAGTGTGGTGCTGACAACACCAGGTCAAGGGTTAAGATCCCCTTACCTGTCACCTTTAAAAAAAAAAAAAAAAAAAAAGATCGGATCCCCATACCGGCCAGCCGCCAAAAAAAAAAAAAGTGTGCAGAATAAGATGTTCATGAAAATTGACTTAAAGTAAATACTTGCTGATGTGTCATCTCTTAACCCCCAATGTGGTTCATACTGAAGTGTAACCAGTGACATAGACGTGGCCGTGGTCCTGGACCTGTCCGGGCTAAGACCAAAGCCAAGTTCCTTTGCCTTCAAATTTTCTGTTGCTTCCACGGTGCTACATAGCAGGACATACAGGGATACAGAAGGACACAAATCCCCTGGCTCTTCGAGGGGTGGAAAGCAATTATGACATAGCTCTCTCTGATATGCTTTGTTACCTTGTATTGGGTACAAGCTTGGCTATAGGTTTTAGATGAAGCTATGGTCCTCCCTCCCAAAAGATATCCCTCACTTGAGTGCTTTTTCCCCCTTAAACAATATTTCGAACATGGCAGAAGGATTTTTTTTTTAAACTGTGGTCCACAGCCAAATTCTTCATCCAAAGGCCCTGAAGGATCACACTGCATTGTCAACAGATAGCGTGAGGTTTGTGCTCAGAATGGAAACCAGTAGTCGATGCCCCTATTTTGAAGGCAACCTAGCTGTTAGATGAAGAGAACAGCTGAGGTCCTAACAAAACAGATCAACAGAAAAGGCTAAGAACTGCCCGTTGGGAAAACTATCCCAGGATCGTTACCACAGTCCTAGATGACAATGTCATCAGCCATAAAATGCTTTTGACATATCATCCAGTCCAGTACTACTCATTCTTGCTTTAAATCTTTTTTAGGGTGGCAACATAAGCCTTAAATACAGCAGTTGTTAGGCTTAAATCTCTGTTATGATTCTGATATTATATCTATGCTTCAACTGGATGACTTTCATTTATTTAAATAACCACTAAAATAAGGGTCTTCTGGAATAGATGGATATATGATAAACCCCTGAGGGTGGCTCTCCTGAGGAAGAAGGTGTCTGCCTCCAAAACTCCTTAAGTCACTGCTGAAACAGAGAGAGGTGACTGCTAAGAGTTTTGGTGTATGAAGTGCTTTAGCCTTCCCTAAATGCCATGAGTTTTGCAAAAGTATTTAGTAATAAAGGATGCTAATATTTGCTCTTTGCTTCCATGTTTTTTGTTTTGTTTTGTTTTGTTTAAAGATGACCGGTAAGGGGATCTTAACCCTTGACTTGGTGTTGTTAGCATCACTCTCTCCCAAGTGAGCTAACTGGCCATCCCTATATAGGGATCCGAACCTGTGGCCTTGGTGTTATCAGCACCACCCTCTCCCAAGTGAGCCATGAACTGGCCCTGCTTCCATGTTTTGAGGGAGCTAGTCTTTGTGGTTTTATTTCAATTCTTTAAGAAACAATATTAGATTTCTTAAAATGCTAAACATCTGTGTATATTGTGTCATTTTTCACACAGTCATGACTGACAGAACTGACTTGTTCCTTTCCATTTCCATAATGCTCTTGTGTTTCATACAATTTACCTCTAAGGACAAAAACAGTCATTGTCTTAAAACTATATATTTTCATCATATTCCTCTCCTTTACAAGAGCTCCTATTCAGGGTGTATCAAATCATTTTAGAGGGCCGGCCCGTGGCTCACTCGGGAGAGTGCGGTGCTGATAACACCAAGGCCCCGGGTTCGGATCCCACATAGGGATGGCCGGTTAGCTCACTGGCTGAGCGTGATGCTGACAACACCAAGTCAAGGGTTAAGATCCCCTTACCGGTCATCTTTTAAAAAAATTTAAAATATTAAAAAAAAAATCATTTTAGAATTCTAGTTTGCTTCAAGGCTTTCCAACATTTCTTTTACCTTGGCATTTATCTATATCACTTCTCAGTTCCCTTTTGCAACCCCAGGCTTTGTTTTTATCTGGAAAGAAAAGTTTATCCTCTCAGAAATGTACCCTTCTGGGCCGAGCCCGTGGCGCACTCGGGAGAGTGCGGCGCTGGGAACGCAGCAGTGCTCCTGCCGCGGGTTCGGATCCTATATAGGGATGACCAGTGCGCTCACAGTGCTCACTGGCTGAGCGTGGTGCGGCCGCAGTGCGGCCGGTCTCAAAAAGGACAAAAAAAAAAAAAAAGAAAAGAAAAGAAATGTACCCTTCTTTCTGTATCAGAACATTCACATTCTCTGTGAAGTCTTTCTCAGTAAGCCTCACTTGGCTTTGGCCTGGTGAACTAAGGCCCCCATTGCCCTAGCCATCCCTCAGTATCCAGGTTTGCATACCTCTCCAATGTTTGAAACCCATCCTGCGTGGTCTATGGGTCTGTTAATGTGTAATTGCATATATTAATTATCCTATTTCTCCTCCTTACTCATTTCCTTAACTAACCACCCCCTCAAGGAAGGCATCTAAGTGTACCTAGAACATTCAATAAGCTAAATACAATGACCCAATAGGTAAAGAAGGTGATGGATATATATCATCAAGGCAGATCAGAGAAGCCAATGAGAATGGTAAACTGGAAAAAGACACCAAGAAAGTAGGCAAAGATAGAAGATAGAAAGATATTACATATCACTGGGACCATCAGGAGACATACCTATGATATGGTAAGCAGTGGATCTTTCCCCTGAGAAGTGTACTAACTTCTTACACATTCAAGGTGATATACACATGCCTTGGACTAGGACACAATGATCAGTTCTGTAAAGGGAAACAGGGGTCTTGAGTCCAAATTCTAACTCCTTCACTGATTCAATGACTATGAGATGGTGAACAACCATCTTCATTCCTTAGGTTTAATTCTATTTGCAAAATAGGTATTTTCATTTTTTTACCCACTATCTATTGCTAATCTCATCCAGTTAAATAGCTTTACATACTTCTTTCTTGAATTCAAGGCTCATAGAGCCATTCACCTCTCTGCATCTTCACTTGATGTATTTTTTGGGCATCTCATATCTAAAACCAAACCCTTGATTCTTGCCCCTCCAAGCTGGCTCCACCCTATTTCAGTAAATGGCAATTGCATCCTTCCAAAAACATTGACTTTGTCTCTCACACCTCATATCCTATTTATCATCAAATTTTGTCAGCTCTACTTCAAAATATATCCAGAATACAACTGCTTCCCTTCATTTTCAGACACCATCTTGATCTTAAGCTAATATCATCTTTCACTTGGATTATCACAGTAGCCTCTTAACTATTTCTCTGCTTACACTCTCACCCCCCTACAATCTACTGTCTATACAGAAGCTAGCCTGACCATTTAAAAAGGAAAGTCAGATTTTGTTAGACTTTCGCTTAAAACCCTCCACTGACTTCTCATCTCATTCTAAATAAAATACAAAATTCTACGCATGGAATTCAAAGCTCAACACAAGTTTGTTCTAGCTCTCCTTGATTTCATCTCCTAACACGCTCGCCCTTGTTTATTCCGTTCCAGCCATAGGGGCCAACCACTTTAATAAGCATTCCATCCCACCATCGCTCTCTGCTCACCTAGCCTGCTTTATTTTTCTATACAGCACCTATCATTACTTGACATATTTTTTTTTTGTCTTGTCCCACTAGAATATAAACTGCATGAGGGTAGGGGTGTTGTCTGTTTTGCTCCCTGTTTTTGCCCAGCACCTGGAACAGTGCTCTTGTATGCAACAATACTAATTCAAAGGATTTTTCACCTCATTAAAAACAAACAAACAAAAACCTATTCTGGTTGCTCAGACACAATCTTAAAATAACAAAAATACTTTTAGAATGAAGCTAGATTCCACAGCACTCATCAGGAATTTCAACTGTAGGAAATAATGAATGACAGTGTTCAAGCATACAGGCCTTTCAGATGCATCAGAATCACAAGCACGTGGCAAGGGTTATGTCCCCAATTAAGTGAATATTCTCCTTACTTGTTCACCAGCTCATAAACAAATGGTGACCCAGACCAGACTGCCCTGATGACTGGTTGGAAGAAAGGAATTACATCATTGATTGGAGAACCTCAAGGCATATGCTCAGGCAGGTGACACAGGACACACAGCCCAGACTGTGATTGCTGAACTACTCCCACTGTCAAATAAGGAACTCCCTCTCATGACCAGCTCTCAGGAGAATTCTCCGAGCCCGACAGTCACCCCTAACTCCTCTGACAGTTAAGGTTAAGGAGTCTCTTTGTGATCAGTGATGTTACATTCCTCAAATGGGTATTTGTAATACCTTTTCTTAAATGTTTATTCAAATATTTATTCATGAATAAAGTAAGGAAATGGGACTTGTTTAAATTCAATTTCTAGGTCAAGTCAGCCTATTATGGCTGTCCCCAGTAGTGGACCTCAGGGTTGTCATCAGTATCCCCCCCCCCACAGTGCCCTCAAACTAGTCACACCCGCCCATATTGAGCCTCCAACCTGTCACCACTCCAAACAATACTCCCGAACTGTCAACGCCCTAAACAGCCCCCCTGCCGTCGCCAATCTCCTCTGTCATTCGTACCCCCAAACAACCTTCTTGTCACCAACGCCCTAAATTTCTCCCATGAACAGTCTTCTATAAGATCCGTATACTATCAGCCGTACCCTTCCCGTCATCAACGCCCCCGAAACCCCACTCCTACCACCAGTTCCCTGAACATCCCCTTCCTGAGTCGCCAATATCCCGTATCCAACGTCATCGTCTCTACTCACGTAGCCCCTCGCTGGGGCCTCCTTGGCCCCGCCCAATTACGTGCGGCCCACCCCTTGGCGCGGCGTCCCGGCAAGGGGCGCCGGAAGCCCCGCCCCTGGCCGGTTGCTAGGCTCCGGCAGCCGGAAGTCCCGCCTGCCGTGTAGTCGCCGCCGCCGTCGTTGTTGTTGTGGTCGGTGCGCTGAGCTCCGGGGCTCCGAGAGCCGGCTCCGTCCCCTCCTGCCGCCGCCATGAAGTGGATGTTCAAGGAGGATCACTCGCTGGGTAGGCGCTAGGACGCCGGCGGGCG